ACACACACACACACACACACACACACACACACACACACACACACACACACACACACACACACACACACACACACACACACACACACACACACACACACACCTGCCAAGCCTCTGCTGTTACTCCCATTGCTGCCTTATTCACTAAGACCCTCCTCACTTCACTCCTGAATTACTGTGGCCTCTGCCTGGCACTCCTTACTCCTTGTCTGAACCTGTGCGCACAGTGTATCGGAACAGTTTTCCTCACACTGAGCTTTTATCATATTAACTACTGTGCCCTATGGTTTGTATAAAAAGTGTTACTCTGATGGCGCCAGTGTTGGTCTGTGTTCTGCTTGACTCTGGTGTTTCTGAATCCAGTGTGTCCCTCCTAGATTAGTCTTTCTCAGCTATCACTATGATATCTTTCGATTTACGAGATTGTAATAGAAGCTTTTATATACTGTTACCAGGAGTATGCACTGTGATGTCTTTCTGCGGGGCAAAGCCTTAAAATGTATGTATGCTTTATTTCACCTTGACATTATGCTTTTAATCATGCCTTTGTGCATTTTAAAAATATGTATAATACAACTATTGTTGCTATTTTTAAAATAAAATTTGTTGGCATATCCTAATTGGTCCTTTGGAAGGAGGAGTGTCTATACTGGAAACACCTGGGAACCATTAAAAATGATGAATATAGAAAATACTTTTTTTTCTAGTAAGCATTTAATTTTTTTGATATCCCCATGGTATATCCTTTAAAATTGTGGTTCTTTGTTTTGTTTTGTCTTTTTAAGATCTCTAGTAGCTTTCTGTTGTTCATCAAATTAATCCTTGCTTCCTATGCCTGGCTTCCAGGGCCCCGCATCAACCTACTCTCAAATTGTGTAGCAACCTTACAGAAATCTCAACCATTGCAGTCTGTTTTATCCCTGACTGGACTCCCACAGCCCAAACTCACTTCCAGCTGTGCTCTTGTTTATGTACTTTCCCCACTTGACTACCCTTTGTGTCTCTCTCCTCGTTCAACTCCTATCACTTTTTTAAAATAAATTTATTTATTTTATTTATTTATTTTTGGCCGCATTGGGTCTTTGTTGCGGCTTTCTCTAGTTGCGGCCAGCGGGGGCTACTCTTCGTTGCGGTGCGCAGGCTTCTCATTGTGGTGGCTTCTCATTGTTGTGGCTTCTCTTGTTGCGGAGCACGGGCTCTAGGCGCACAGGCTTCAGTAGTTGTGGCATGTGGGCCCAGTAGTTGTGGCTCGCAGGCTCAGTAGTTGTGGCACACAGGCTTAATTTCTATGCGGCATGTGGGATCTTCCCGAACCAGGGATTGAACCTGTGTCCCCTGCGTTGGCAGGTGGATTCTTAACCACTGCACCACCAGGGAAGTCCCGTATCATTTTTTAAGGGTCTACTTCTTATGAATCTTGTCCTGATTTTCTCAGTCCTTTGTGGCTATATCATCCAGTTCTATGGTTCGTCTCAAGTAAACAGGTGTTCTGGAAAGGAGCCTGGATTTAACAGAGGAACTAGAATGTGACTGGAGAATACCTGTGAGATGAGCGTTGTTTTCTGCTGAAGGTTGATTTTTGAAGGCTATTTGGAATGGAGCCATGCACACACCGGTCCTTGCTGCTTTGTTCTTTTTCTACTTAACTGACCATCTTTGTTCTCCAGTAAAGAGCTGGCCAAGGGAGAAGTCATGTTTTCTTTTTTAGCTTCAAACAATTTTGCAAGGAAAAATTAGGTAAAGTTCAAAGATAAAGGTTTGCTCTAGAGTGCAATATTCCTTTTATCATCTTTTTCATCTGTTCCTCTGTGGATTACTTCTAGCATCCTCCTGCAAGGCACATACATGGCCTGATTACTCGAGCATTTTCTCCTCTCCCTTATGCCCAAATCTTGATCTATTGCATTCACTGGGCTTAGTCTGAGAACTGTGAAGAAGAGAGAACTGCATTCGTCCATTTTTGTGTTTGGATCACTAGACTATACCTCAGCCCCATTCACTGGTCCTGCTCAAACCCCTGCACAGCCCTTCTCTACCCCACACTCCATGGGTACTATGTATGAATTGTCTTTTTTTAGTTCATGTGCTAACTTAAAATATTTCTATTATGAAAATTTGCAAACATACAAATAGCATAGTAAAACATGCTTCTTGAATACCCACCACACAGATTCAATTACCAACATTTTTAGTGTACTCTTTTAAAACCCAAGTTTATCTTAATATTTTGTTCTCTTATGCTATAACATCTGTCTTTCTAAAACTTATCTTTTAGTCATGTGCTTAATAGATCGAATAGTGATCTCTTCTGTGGTATTCAGTTTCAATACTTAATTATTCATTGTCAAAGACAGTGGTATGTGAGAGAAATTAAAATTCAACAAACATAGCTAATATATTGATAACTTCATATGGTAACTTTGGGCACAGGTTACAATTTAGTTGTAATTATTATTTCTATTCTATTAAGTTAACCCCTAAACCTGAAAACTAAATTTTCATCTATATTTTTAAAAATTAAAATATGATCAATCATGTGAGTCATTAACCCCATTCTGGTTACTTACCAGGGAGTGTTATTTCTTGTGAACCTCTCTTATTTTTCATCCGATTTCCTTTGTATATAGTCTTGAAATACTAAATATTTTCAATGTGTTCTTAGACCATCTCATCCCTTAAGGACATAAGAGCAACAGGAATCTTCCTTATAGACATTAATACTAGTATTGAAAATTATGAACTACATTTTGTCTGTAAGAATACTTGCCTTCTTAACTAAATAGGATAGCATTATGATATTAGCTTTAAACCAAGGTTAATCATTTTTATTCCACTGAATAACTCATTGCTTTTGCACATTATAATTCACTGTTGAAATTCTTTAATTTTTTTTCCTATTTTTTTTTCTTTTTCTGCAGCTCTTGTAAATGTGAAACTCTGGGCCATTGATCGACAATGTTTTCAAACAATAATGATGAGGACAGGACTCATCAAGCATACCGAGTATATGGAATTTTTAAGAAGGTAGGATGCTTTCTTTTCTTCTGAGTGTTTTATTGTCTTTTCAACCTTCCTCTGAAAGGCAGCCCGGGGAACACTTTTTGCCTTTATCTCAGTCTTATTAGCCTACAAATTTGTGGAAGTACAAGGCTTTGCACTGGCTTCTTTCTATTTCTGCTGCCAAATTTCATGATAGGTGGTTAAGTCAGAAATTCAGAGTTTCATCCAACATCCTCTCATAGAGGAGAGAAGCAAGTGAGCATTTGCAGGAACAATGACAACAAAAAGGATATTGAGCCCATCTCTAACTGTTGATCAATTAATATATTTACCTCTTCTAAAGCAACCCACAGTATAAGACTGAATCATCTCTGTGTGAGGTTCTATATTAAAGATCAGATGACTAAGATGAAAAGTTCCAAGAAGAAGTTTATTATCCTTTAATCCTGAATTTAATTTCCCAAATTAAATTCATTTTATGTTGCAGTTCTGAGGTATCAAAAGCTCTTCTTTTCCTGATATTATATATTATCATAATAACTCAGTATACCATAGGAATTGGAATAAAACACCAGCTTTCGTTTCTTAGGAATATACTGATAGTCACTGAAATTCATTTGTCTCTATGCTTATTTTATTTTAAAGAGTATATATTATCATTAAAAAGAATATTGACAACTTTGACTTTTTTTGAAAAAGTTATTTTGTATAATTTTTCTTTTGAAACAGAACCATCATTAAATAGTGATGTACAGAGTATGTGAGCTAAATGGGAGTGCAACACCAATTAAGATTTCATTTTTGAGAGCTAGAATGTTAAACTTGCCTTTTTATTTTATATTTTTGGTGAAGAAATTGTTTAAACAGAGTCAAAAAATCATATTTTGTGTCAGTGATAGAAAAATCTTAATGGATATCTATTGAATTTTCTTAAAGGCAATTTTACTGTTCCGTACTTGGGTATTTCTTTTGGTTAACTTATTGTTTCTGATTACATTTTGGATTTCCACATAATTTTTTCTTTATTCCTGGTAAAATGACAATAAAATTCAAATATGACATCAGGTGAGACCTATTAAAAAAAATATTACTCTTGGCAAGGTGTTGGTTTTTTTACTAAAGGTGATTGAATGAAACAGAAGTGGAAATGTGAATTTCTTCTGCTTGAAGATTAGTATAGTTTGTGAGGAAATTAAAGTATTCAGGTGCCATCTGTGTAATATATGTATATATATGTTAATATGTGTGCTGATACATAGATGTGTGTATGTGAATGGAGACAGAAAGGGATAAGAGTGAATGTTCATTTTTAAGCCTTTATTAAAGTACAAGTTATTGATTTCTTGTGATGCAGCCCTGACAGAGAAAGATCCCAGTTGGTAATCAGTGAAATGCTTGTCTGCGGGACAGAGTTAACTATTTGTCTCACATACCTAAGAGCTGGGTATTTATGATGCTGGTTTCAGTTTTCATAAGTTAGTTTTCATAAGGAAATGGAATGAGTGCCAATGCTGTCTTTCATGGCTCCAACAAAAACTCTTTTTTAGAGGCACAATTTCAGGAAATTGTAGATGTCTGTGTGTGTGTGTGTGTGTGTGTTTGTGTGTAATTGATCCTGGATATACTTTTATTTTTGTCATCTATTTTGACAATTCAAACCTTAAACAATAAAAGTTGGTTCTCTTAGATTGCGTAAACATTTCTTGTTGGTCAGCTTAGAGCAAGTGGAGTTTAACTGATTTACTAAAAGAGACAGGCACTGACTTTGATGTCACTCTTCATCTTGCCACTCTGTAAAACATTAAGTCCACATCATTTTTGTATGTAGTAGTGGGCTGGGAGTCCAGAAAGGTGACAAATGACCACTGTTTCCTGGGGCCAGCTTTAATCTTCCTAAATTATTACTGTGACCAACTGGTTCTCTTTCTACAGTGCTCATAGTTCCTGTTGAATTAGTTACAGCATCATTAGCTGGGTATTCAAGGTCCTCCCACAGCCAATGGCAGCCTGCTTTTGCAGCCAGGTTTCTTCTTGCCCCAGGCAACCCAAATGATTCCATGTGCCCAAGCAGACCTTGTGCTTTTATATAGCACACTGCCTCTGTTGCCTTTTCCCCCATTGTCAATGTTTAAGTCTCTCTCTTCTTTTTATATTCAACTAAAAGCTGCCCTTTCCACAGATACTGATGGTTCTGCTGGGAAGCAATCTCTTCTCCGGAGCTTCATTTCTACCATGTGTGTTATTTTCTACTTTATTATAATCTCACTGCTAAACTTATCTCTACTTTTAAACTACACACGTTTCGCGACTAGAGCTATTTCTTAAGCATCTTGGTATTCTTCTCTGGCACACAGCTTACCACTTTGTAGACAGGCAATTTACAGGACAGTAAGTGTGGGATGAGTACGTAATTTGAAGGGCCCACTGGAAAATAAAATTCAGGACTCCTTTCGCAAAAATTGTGAAAAATTTCAAGACACTGGTGGCATAGTATGAAACCAGGTATAGGGATCTTCTTTTTTTTTTTTTTTTTTTTGCGGTACGCGGGCCTCTCACTGTTGTGGCCTCTCCTGTTGCGGAGCACAGGCTCCAGACGCACAGGCTCAGCGGCCATGGCTCACGGGCCCAGCCGCTCCGCGGCATGTGGGATCTTCCCAGACTGGGGCACGAACCCGTGTCCCCTGCATCGGCAGGCGGACTCTCAACCACTGCGCCACCAGGGAAGCCAGGGATCTTCTAATCTTGGGCCCTGTGCTATTACACTTGTGAAACTAAGAGTGAGCAATCATTCCTCCTTCACCTTCCCGGGTTAATACTTGCTGCCATTTATTTTGCAAGGCCTGTTGGGATGACATAATCTTCCCCAAGGAAATGTAGATCTTGTCAAAAACGAAGATGACCAAAATTAATTAAACTTTTCTACCATAACTTCAGAATTTTTTATCTCCCTGTTTATTGTTGATTTTAAAATTCTGCTTACCACTCTTACATTATGTAAAAGCTTTAAAAGTTTACATAGTTAAGTCAGCCAACTTTTTTACTTTATGGTTTCATGTTTAGAAAGACTTTATCATAAAAACAGACTTAATACTTAAATCCTCTGTAGCAGCCTGTGTGTGTGTGCACGTGCGCTTGTGTGTATGCGCATGGCGGGGTGTTTTTCTCTAATATGCTTGCTAGAAACTTTCATCTGAATTTTTCTACTATAGATACATATACTTTATAGTTAAGGATTTAAGCAGTGTGACACAATCAGAAAAATTAAAACTCTAGCAGATGGTATTAGAAATCATCAGAATTCTTCGCAGTGAGGGTCTCTATGGTACATTGGAATGCCTTCCTAACGGAGGACTTTCAAGGGCAGGGACAGGCTAAAAGAGGAGTGATTCTGTATCACTGCTCATCTCCCCATACCACACTTCACTTTTCTAAACAAGCAGTAAATCTGGAGGGTGAGAAAAGGAGGGGACACATCAGACATGTAAATGCACAGACAAAATGCAAAGATTTTTCTTATCAAAGTCGGTTTTTTTCATTCCAGTGTGTTTACTCATTTTGTAACCACCAGTCATGTGGTCTGGCCTCCTCTTTGCTATTAAACGCCACATCAAACCATGATTCTGGTCTTTAATCCTATTTAGTTGTTTCTCTTTTGTGCTTAAATTTCACATTCCCTGATGTAAACACAGATGTTCCTTATGCAAGCATAGCAAAAAATATATATATATATTCAAGGGGCAGTGCTGCTAAGCAAGGTACGATTGCTATAGGTCCAGTAGCGATTTTGTGAGATGCATTTTCTATCTTCTTTGGCTACTGAAAAATGCTGTTGTTTTACAGATGGATCCTGAAAAATAACTGCTAGAGTTAACTGTCAGAGTTAATTTGTGTTGCTTTTTTCTGAGCATATTCTCTGTGCTACTGTTGGCACAGACATCTATACCCGGAGGAGCATTAGAATGCAGCTGTGTGACCACTGGGATATGCTTGAAGGAACTGGGTTTTCTGTTGGCCCCAAACTATGATGATGCCGAACCTGTATTTATCTTAATGCCTCCCTGACAAATCAGAGACACAGCAGGGACTGTTTGGAATTTAAGCTACTCAATCAAGCCTGTCGACCCACAAAAAAACCTTTTCTTGATCCACTAAGGAATCTTTTGGTAAGGCAGATATGCACGCATCATCATTCTGCATAAGACCTTTCCATGACTACTACTCACTCCTAAGATAAAGTATGTCTTTGGCACTGTCGTCAAAGCCCTGCTTCCTCTGGCTACTGCTGACCTCCCTAGGTTCATCTCACTCTCCATCTTCTTCTTCCTTGTCTTCTCATTCCCTCTTTGCTCTAGTCCCGTGGTGAGCCTTCATTTCCTTGTGTGCTGTGTTCCCTCCCAATGGAGATCCTCCTAAGAGACTCCTCTCCCTTTGAATGGATGCATTTTCTAGGGTGATCTATGGTGTAGCACCCTGGAAATGGTGTGCCATTATGGCAGAAAAAAGAATCTGATCTCAAACAATTACAGATTTCTGATTTACCTTCCTTAGGTTGAAAGAGGAATTAATAGTATTAGCCACCAAGTTTCATGTTGTATTTTCAATAAATAGCATTTTAAAGTTTAGAGATTTTGAAGTTTTTTACCTATTTGATTCTCAGCTGACTCTCCAACCATTAAGGTAGTTTTCAGTTTGGGTTTTTTCTTTTTGTTTTTTTTTTTTTGCGGTACGCGGGCCTCTCACTGTTGTGGCCTCTCCCGTTGCGGAGCAGAGGCTCCGGACGCGCAGGCCCAGCGGCCATGGCTCATGGGCCCAGCCGCTCTGCGGCATGTGAGATCTTCCCGGACTGGGGCACGAACCCGTGTCCCCTGCATCGCAGGCAGACTCTCAACCACTGTGCCACCAGGGAAGCCCAGTTTTCAGTTTTAAAACTACCGGTCATGTGGTTTGGCCCTCTTTGGGCAGAAGAGTGGATCTTCTCCAGGGATCTCTGATCAGATCCCTGGAAGCTAATTTATAACAAAGCC